ATAAAGGCGAACCAGTCCGTGCTGGCTGAACTGGAAAAGTGAGCTTTTTTCGGCTAGCGAGTGAGGATTTGGTCCCGAGCATCCTGCTAGCTTAGCAGCTAAGTTAGCAACACAAACCAGAGAGGAGGGAGGTGAGCAGTGTTTACTTTCATTTCCAGTAATGACAGCTCTGTGGCAGCTCGATATCTGCAGGATAACTTGATGAATTTATCTATTTTTATTAGTAATTATTTTATGCTGTTAATCAAACGTGATAGATGTGCTAGTCTGACGTTATACTTCCCGAATGAGCGGTTGCCATGCAAATGTCAGCTCACTGAAATTACATAAACTCAACTAAATGAAAGCAAAGTAGCCAGTGAAGATACACATACTTAACGTTTAAAAACATTTAGTAGGTGATATTTGTGGCCATGGCTCAAAGGAAATATGGCAGTACAGTTTTTGTCACTGACAGCTGTAAGAAGACATGTGACACTTAACACAAACCTTCAGATTTACGCGTCATATTTCTGCCGAATTAAAGAGCAGCTCCTAAAAGTTAATGTCCCAGGTTGGATTTTGTGCTTGTACTTCATGGAAATGTTAAGGTAAATGCTAAATTGCACGATAAGTTACCGGGTTTTTGTTTCCATGCAAGTAAGAAAAGATTTAGCACTTTGAATGACACTCCCCTTGAATCTTAAGAAAAGATAATTGTTGTCATCATGGCAGTAACACAACAGGCTTCATAAGCTACCTGACTGCTTTTTCTTTCTGTCCAGGTGAGAGGTGAGAACCAGGGTCACCGACCATGGCAGGTGGAATTACAGACACAGGAGAGCCCTACTCTCCATTTGTAAGTTTCCAGCATGCAGGAGTTATCTCCCAGTCTCTCTTTGAATATTTAAAACACACCCTTGCTGGTTTAAAACAGCCTCTCCTACTAAAGCACACGTTTACGAACACATGAAAGGGCGTTTAATGTTCAACACATTATGACCTATAAAGGCTGCCACACTGTGCTGCTTTTGGTTGTAATTTGTAGTTTAAAGGAAATAAAGGACGGTGTGTTAGTCACAGTTTTTCCTGTCAATGAAAAGAGGAGAATCGAAGGAAATTGTTTGACTTCCAAGCGTGGCTGTGCTCTCGTCACGTCTGTCCCAAAGCAGCTGATGCATTTAGTCACTAAAGGAGCTAAGAGATGGTCCTGGTTGTGAGGACACCTAAACACAAAATCAGTGCTGATAGTTTAATTTAATTAAAAGTGTTTTCAAAGAAAGAGTAACACAGCAGCTATGTGACGACCAGGGAATGATTTACTTGACCTGGATAGAAAATTAGAGGACATTAGAGTGTGTGATGGTGTCACTGTAGGAACCAAACACTGGAAAGCAATGCTCTTTCAAATTTTAGAAGAATTAGCTTAAAAAAAATAGCAGATTGAAACGGCTGAGGTTAAAATCCCGATTAAAAAGCCTCAGCTGTCGTCTTTGTCAGAGCTCCTTTTAAGGTCAGGCACATGCTTAACCACCTGACAGGCCTCTTTGAAAATGCTGTAGTTGCAGTATTGTTGCTTTATCG